CTCCGTCCTTTGGAGTGTCTTTGATGTGCTAATCAGTCCTTTCTTAGACTGGGCTAGTGCAAGAGCTGTATTACCTGAACTACTGGAGAGATCCATAGCTATTGCAGAGAGAGATGTAGCCTGGGACAGGAACTTACCTTAAATGACACATTTTTTGGAAGCCTCTAATTTTTGGTGTAGAGTAAATGTGGCAGTAGCATCTGAAGACAAGGGACCACTCTATGCCAACTCCTCTTTCTGCTTTCTTATACACCATTATCTATATGATGCTAATAGTCCACTGGAGAAGGTCACAAGAGCTAAGTATGATATACAACTAGAACAGTTTTCTTCTTAAGTCTGATCAATTGTGTTATAAATAAATTGAGTCAGGCAGAAATATTATTCTGCGGTTGATAGGGGTTCAAGGGGCACAACACAGGATACTCTTATTTTGTACATTTGGAATTGGCAAGTACAGTCTTGGACAAGCAAGATCTACCTCAAAAGTACCACAGCCTTGTCAGGAAGATGTCTCTGGGAGCCAGGGAGTAGGTGAATATGAATAAGGAAAGCCCTAATGGTCCAGAAGCCAGTGGGCTAAGAAGCAAAGCGGTGGCATAACTGAAACAGTGAGTGACGGAAAGCAAAGTCCACCCTGGAGACCTTGGCTCTCTGCCCACTAGTTCTTGGTTCTGGAGACAAAAAATATCTGCAAACTGTGGATGGTTTTGTTTGTTTTTCATGGCTACAATGAAAAATATAAGAGATGGATCTACTAATGACTGCACAGAATAATATTCATATACTTGTTGATTTATTCCACATTCTTGCCTTCCCTTGAGCCACCAAAAACTTAAGACAAGAGACTATTAAATCAGTTTCAGGGGAGGCAAGGAAATTTCAGAGGGTACATAGTCCTAGCTAGTCACTTTTAGCCTCTGTCTTCCCCTGTCAAATCCAGGTTAATAAACTCATTGTTGTTTGTCTTCCCACTTCTAAAGCTCCGAGAAGGTTGTCTAGGAAGACTAAAACCAGATATTGCCCACTTACTCTGTAAAAAGTAATTACAATTCAATCCTGGAATCTGGGGAAGCTGGGAATTGGTCATACAGAAAAAAAGAATGGCAAAATCTTGGTGATTTGGATAGACAGAGTTGAAGGACCCAGGTAAAAGGGACAGGGTAGTGACAGTAGAAGGGGATAAAAGAGAAGACAAAATATATGGACAAAAGCAAGTTAGAAAAGGAATTTTTAAATTATCACTTTTAAAATGGTTAAGTGTAGGAGGGCACTTCCTAGGCCTGCACGAATAGAGTTCAAGCTTGAGATATTTTTAAGAAACTGCCTAGAGTCTTTCAGTAAATAAAAATCTTACTAACTTAAGTGTCCTATCACTCTGGAGCAAGGCTGTGAGACATTCTTACTCATGTGGACTCTGACAGGCAAAAATACGTGTTATCTGCAGGCCTAGTAGGAAACAAAGTATATGTACACACAGGCAATAAATAACAAAGGAAATAGTGAGATCCCTATACCCACGCAAGGACAATTAAAGAAAGTCTATTTTTAAGGAGATACACTCACAAGTTTTAAGAAGGAATCTGGAGTGGGAGATTTCTAAGTGTTACAGCCTTTGGCTACGTTAAAAATGAAAAGTTGAGCTGCTACAAATACCCAGGATGGATATTAAAACTGCAGATACAAGGAAAATGAGCAACATTAGGAATGGGCCCTTAGGTTTTAGCAAAGTACCAGATAAAATAAAAGACAGTCCTATCTATAAAACATTTTAAGTGCTCATGGCTACAGGTTTGATCTCCGTTCTTGTCTTCTGCTCTTCCGGAAATGATAGAAAATGTTTCCCAATAGCCCATGGAATGCTTGGGAAATGAAAGAGCAGCATAAGCAACTCACAATAGCTGGAGCAAGTAACCTCACACCACACAAATTGCCTTTATTTTGCAATTGGCTACACAATACACACTACACAACACACACACACACACACACACACAAATTGCACAGCTGTGCCTGAGAGTCTTTTTACTTCTTTTATTGAACTCCATAAATATTTTCATAAGGCTTTATGTCATTACAACATCATTTTTGTTGTTATTAAACATTTCCAAATACACAATTTTGACACTTGTTTGACGGGGTCAAACAGTCAGATAACAGAAGAAAAGAATCAGCTGGCGAATGCAGAGCAGCAGGGGTAGTCAAAGTCACTGGTGCCCATCTATTCACCCAGCCCGCCCACCCCCAAGCACTAAAATAGCACTAGTTGGCTTCATACTAGAATTGTTAGAACTCTCTTGTTGCTGTCCTTAATAGATCAATTAAAGATATACACATAGAAAGAGGATGAGAGAAGGAGAGAAAAAAATGTATTTCTGTATTAGGACCTCCCTGCAGTAGAACTCATAGAACAAACTGGCCAAACCCTTTCGGAAAGAAAATTCAGGCCTCATTGTGTCAAGGAAAGGGGAATACAGGACCATGCAGAAATAGGAGAATTATAGAATTTGGGGAGGATAACAAGGCTGTGGGGGATACAACAGGTTTAGATATTGAGTCCAGGTGATTTATGGGTTTCCCTTTGGGCTACTGGCCACTGATCTACTTTGAGCCATAAGTGTGGGGGGTAGGGTGGGGCATTCAAATCAGAGGATAGCTGAATTAGTAGTGCCTTCACAAATTACTACATATCGCAAGGCCAGTGGAATGTATGGAGAAACAGGATGATGAGAGGTGATTCCCCTGATCCCGTAGCCTTGAATGTTAGAAGGGACAAGAGAATGACTGGGTCTGGCCAAAAGATAATACAGATCTAGCAACATTTCAAAGCTACTCCTCGTGGGGTGCCTCCAATCCCTGGAGAAAGTTGCCAAGGCCAAACCTAGTAAGGATGGGCAGGGAGTAGGAAAAGAAGGTACATTAAGGGAGGCCTGCACAGGAAGTGAAACCTCTTGCAGTTTGCCAATGGAGAATATTGTCATCTAGGTGCTAGATACCAGACTTCTTGCCATGGGGCTTAAGTAGCTCTGTCATGTGCAGTCCAATGTCTGACCAGTCCCGAGCCCTGGTCTCCTGCTAGTTAGCTTTGATAACTGTTAATTCTGACTTAAATGGAAGCTTCATCAATTTGTAATTTGTTTTCCAAAGGGGAAAGATTCGCAAGCTGGGTAGGGCTTAGTCTAGGTCAGGAAGCACAAAGGGGTACCCAGTCCAGCTTGACTGAAGACCTCATACAGCTATGGCTGCTGCTTGGTAAGCTTAGGCCCCTTCATGACGAAGTCTTCCTGTGAGGTCCAGGACAGACTCAATCTGCAGATCCTGGATTAGGGTGGGTTTCTCACTTCTTTATGTCATCTTATCCTCGCTATCCAAGCTCTATCCACACAAAGGGCTACATGATGAGGAAGAATGTGTACTTCTGTACTCATGGGGATTCTGATTTCTGTGGGGAAAGCTTTGATCAAATGGAAGGCCTGCTAAGAATTAACTTCAGTGTTCGGCCTCGATCTTATTTCGCAGAGGTAAAGCAGCCCTAGGCTTCTTTATCACTTACCTCAGTTGTCCTGGGATGGGAGTATGTCAGCAACAAGGCCTACTTCGAGTGCCAGAATGGCTTTAATTATGCCAATACTCACAATCCTCTACCAGGAAGAAAGAGTAAGGGCAAGAATGGAGACAGAGAAGATTATCCATGCAATCTGCTAATGACTGGGAATGTTTCTCATAATTTAAGTGGTAGTAATTACAGGTATATTATCTTGATTTAAGCCTGTCTCTTTCCCTGATAGTCTCCCATCTTTCCCTGTATGAAGTTATCATCAATCTTGAACTCTTTTCAGGTTAATCTGAAGGTAACTAATGATCTTGGTCAAGCAGATTTTGTCTCGAACCCCTTCATAAGCTTCTAACTGTGATGCCTTAAGAATCTGAAAAAATAGAAGCAGGGATGACCAGAACACTAAAATGACTGCTATATAGAGTGGCCCACCTGCCACCTACCTATTAGGTATGTGTTGTGGGGATGGAGATAAATCTCTTCCCCAGGAGTCTCAATTTCATGGCTTCCAGTTTAGCTAAACCTTCCACCTAGAGAAAAGACAGGCTGAACAGGAGGCTCATAATAAAGGGCCCTTTAAAAGGAGACTAATGGGTCCAAAATAACCCTTCGATGAAAACATTCAGTGACTTAGCAGTGCTGTTACATGGGGATCCTCAGTGCTAGAAGAAATCATCTAAATAAAAAATATCCCCCCCTCTACCCTCATTACATTCTTCTATTCCTTAATTTCTGTTTGGTTTTATATCCTTCCACAATACCTAAAACAGTGAAAGCAATAGAAATACCAAGCAGATAAGTCACAGGGCACAACAGAGCATGTCTAGACTGGCACAACTGTGGACACAGGATGCTGGGAAAAGGCTGTTGGTATAACCGCAGGGCTACAAGAACATTTGCATATGGTTGCATGAGGGACAGGAGATGGGAATCTTCCCCTTCTCCGTGGAAAGTGACAGAGTAAGAAATAAAATTCCAAATCCACCACATAAATTAAATGCAAAAGTTATCAGCATCAGTATCATCAGAAAAGGGAAATAAAACAATGCAAATACTCTATGGTAGTAATGACAGGTCAGTGAACCAGTGGAGCAAATAGGTTACCTTAACAGGAAAAAGAACAAAGAGAAATTCAATTTCGGAAAGAAAGGGCGAGGAGAACAAGGTTAAGAACTAAAAATTTTAAGAAGTGATCACATGTTTGGAAGTCAGTGGTACTTCTTACCAACTACAGATTTCAATTTCCCAAAACAACAGAAAATGGTTTTGGTCCTTCTCTGTGTGTGTATATGTATGTATGTGTGCGGGCATATGTGCACACATGCCCCCACACACATGAATACTTAAAGGTCTATGTGTGTGTGTGTGTGCCACACACACACACACACACACACACACACACACACACATATATAGAAATTTTCAACAGTGCTTCTCTGAAAAAAGGTCCATCTATAAATATAATTTTATTTATTTTAAAATTATCTGCCTTCCTACAGGTATTATTTTTTGAAGGGGGTTAACCTACTGAAGTTTTGCCAGAATGGTGACTGACTGCGCTTCGGTTCAGCGAACTCAAAGACTTGAGACTGAGCGATGCCATCGGGAACCAGGTACTGACCCTGGTTTAACGGGTCCTGTGGTGGTGGGTAAGAAGGAGGAACTGAGCGGGCAGAGTTGACACCTAGAACACACAGGAGACGAAAAGGAAAGAGTATGCATTTAGTGCCAGGTGCGTTCTCATATTAATCAATGACCCCTCACACTATACTAGTTTTGAGAGTTTTACCTGGTGACATACAATATCCCTAACTCCCAAGACTGAAATACTCTGAAATCCAAAACTTGCCAGCAATCAAACAGTTTCATATTTTGAACCTTTAAAGATTTCCACATTAAAGCTGTCCAATCAATACATGTCTATGTAAACATTCCAAAATTTAAAAAAAATTATAATCTGAGGTACTTTGGGTCCCAAGCATTTTGGGTAAAGGATAATCAACCAGTAGTGCAAATTATTTCTTTCCCTAGCATATTTGCAGTTGTATCTCTATTTCTACAACAACACATCCTTCACCATATTATCGGGTAACACCAAAAAAAAATATGGAGTGTTATCATCACTTATTTAACAGACAAGAAAACCAAGGACCAGAGAGAAATATTATACGTAAGTTCTCATGGTCATCTAGAAACAAAGCAAGAACCAGAACCAACTTTTGTTGACTTCTTGGTTAGGGATTCTTTCTAGGAGACCATAATCCCCAATTTAAGTCTTGTTCCTCTGAAGAACCCAATAAACACCTTTTATCTCTAGACTTTAGTTCTCTTCCTCTGCAATACTCCCTGAAAGTGTCAAAAATAACCTAGCTAAGAACTACTGACTTCAGGACTTTCCATAATGCTTAAGACACAAGTGATTTAGTGTTTTGATTTGGGTTGACAATGACAAACCTATATTTAATAGAAACTTGACATTAGTAGTTGAAGCAGAAGGGAAATTCATCATCAGAAGCCATGATTCATAGAAATAAAAGAAAAATGAAATCTGTGACCTTTTAAAGAACACAGCTTCAATGGGGGGAGTTGCAACCACCCCACAAAGTTCACATTAATGGAACTTTCAAGGAATCCAACTATCCTGACAGTAGTTATAATGTTAATCCATTGTCAACCATTGAGACATCTTAGGTTCTGGAGCCATTTTTAAAAGGTGGCAAGTACCAGAAATAAAATGGTATGCCAACAAACAATACAAAGAGATGCCAGGGAGGAAGTCCCACTTTATCAAGTTCTATTTTCCATCTTCTGTTTCAAGCTTTTGATGTCAAATCTACGAACTCCTTTGTTTTATGTTAGATCCTAACAATTTTTTTTACACTTTTTCTTAGGGCTCTATAGTTTGATATTTAGTTTCACAGTGAATTTCTACTTAATTATTATACTAGGTGTGGGCTTATATCAAAGTTCTATTTTGGGTATGGAAATCGAATTCAGTACTATTTGTTGAAAAGGTTACAATTTTTTTCTTTTTGCTGACTTGCTCGTCTGTCCTTGTCAAAAGTAAGCCAGACTCATGTGTGTAGGTCTATTTCAGACTTCTTTCCCATTCAACTATCAATAATCCCTCAGGTGATGTACCTATACAATGAGTGTTGAAATTAGATAAATTAATTAAATTTTATTCTTACTTTTCAAGATTGTTTTAGTTATGCTAGATTATTAATCAGATTTTTAGCTGGTCCTAAAGCCTATGAAGATAGAGGTTGTGTTTATGATTCTGACATCTTCTGTATTGATAAACTCAATTCCATTGATGTTTAGGAATTAGCACTTAAGTTCCCTCATCCATTGCTGGTGGGAATGCAAACTTGTGCAACCACTTTGGAAAGCAGTGTTTCAGTTTCTCAGGAAATTCGGGATCAACCTACCCCTGGACCCAGCAATACCACTCTTGGGAATATACCCAAGAGATGCCCGATCATATGACAAGGGCATTTGTTCAACTATGTTCATAGCAGCATTATTTGTAATAGCCAGAACCTGGAAGAAGTTCTATACAAATTCTGAAAACCAAGACAGCAGAAAATTAAAAAAAGGAAACTGAAAAGGTCTTTCTATCAACCAGATAACCTTTCCCTCGGAAAAATAGATGGTTGATAATATCCTGTGGTGTACAAATAGCACAGGTAGGGGACAGTAGAGTAATTACTTATCTAATAATATTTGCCCTAGAGCCTTTCAATCAATTTTCCCCTCCACTCTTTCTAGAATTCCTTCAGAACTAATGAGCGCTAACGAGAGAGCAGAAGGAAAGGGCTGGGGAAAGTGATGTCTTGTTAAGATTATCCAATCCTAGGGACAGTGAAAATACTGCCAGGAGTCAAAACAGCTGCCAGTGATTTAGATGAGACAATAAAATGAGCTCTTCTTGCAAACAAGAGGTATGCATCATCATCATCGTCAGGACCCTGAGATGAAGAGGAGAGAGCAGTGGGCTCAGAATCAGGATGACTTAGGTTAAAAAATCACTTTACCTGGAATGTTTTCAGTTTCTTAACCTGGAACAGGAACTACTAGTGCCATTTTCTTTGGGTTACTATAAGGATGAAATGAAAGAAATTAAGAAATTTAAAACTAAGTAGACACTCTAGTAAGTGGAAGGTAGCTCCTTCTTTTGGCTCAACTAACAAGCACGTTAGTTTTGTTCTGGTTCATGAAAAAAGAAAAGAAAAGCTGTTTCGTCTTTAAGTTGATTCTGCTTGTATTTTAAATTTTCAAAGGTATTTCAGTGTACGCCTCAGAGAGAAACTATCTTGTTTCAATATGAGGCGCTTCACGTTAGGTTGGGGCTACTGACTAGGTCAGCAATTCTAGACAACTGAAAAGAAGTCGAAAACATATCCCTATATATTTATATTTATTCAATAAATTAAATACATGCACTACCTCCTGCCTCTCTCTATATTATTCACAAAGGTTTTCTTCTTTTGAAGTAAAAACAAAGACAATGATTTTGTTTTGTTAATGTAGTCAATGACATGGATATGACTACCCCACACCATTTAGTCCAAAGCATTAAAACATTAAGAGCATTTGTTACCTGTTGTCAAAGATACCTGGGTAGCTGGACACTATCCCAAGTGAATGTCAGTATGGAAAGGAGCCAAGGAATGTGCAAACATATAACCTATGGTTTCCTAGTCTCAAACAGACAGGGAGTGGGTCTGAAGGAGCAAAGGCAAGTATACCTTTCTGTTTAGAAGCTTTTCTCACAGTCATTGCAGCCTGCCTCTTCTGGTTTTCAGAAATCTCAAAGCCTACAGGAGAAAAGAAAATTGAACTTTGTTATGAAAAACAGACACCTTTATGCACTGTAAAATGAGTATACCTTTCCTTCCAAAGTTATCTGACAAATATATATAAAACCTGAAGCAAGATGATGGCAAAGATGTGGGGAAAGTTGAACTCTTCATCTCTGTTGGTAGGAGCATAAAATGCTGTAGGTATTAAGGAAATCAATTTGGAGGTTTCTCAAAACATTAAAAATAGAATTACCATAAGACTGAAATTCCTGGACACATACTGAAAGGACTCTAGATCCTACTACAGAGACAGGTGCTCATCTATGTTGATAGCTGTTCTATTCATAATACCCAGGAACTAGAATCAGCCAAGCTGCCTATCAACTGATGAATACATAATAAAACTATGATACATATGCACAATGCACTTTTATTAAGATGAGTAAAACAAAATTATAAAACTTGTAGAAAATATGCAACAGTAGAGACTTACATTAAATCAGGTAGCCCCAAAGCAGAAAGACACATATTCAGAGGTCTCTCTTGTCTGTGGAGCCTAGATTTTAATGTGAGTACATAGGCATAAATCATGAAATTGGAGAAGAAACTGTGAGACGGGAAACTGATGTTTTGAGGAAGAGATGAAGTAATAGATATGCCATAGAGAGCAGCAAAGAGGCTACTGGAGGTAGAAAAGTCCGAGGGAGAAAGGAGGGTGAGTGAGAGACTGGGAGAAGAGGACCAACAAATTACATTTGAAAATGCCATAGTGAAACCAAATACTTTATGTCCTAGTTTAGAAATATAAATATTAGTATGTTGCCCATGGTAGCACAGGGACCCATATGAACCATGTGTTGGGCATGTGTTGAAAGGTGTGAAGGCCTTGCAGAGCTGGCCCCACCCCTCACTGGCTCTGGAATAGAGGACCTCCTATGACACCAGAAGGGGCGCGCTCCCCCCATTCCTCGCTCTACCTCTTGGGAGAGCTGGCCCCACCCATCACCTGAGGGGGGTTGGTCCCAGTAGCCTGTACAGAGAACACCCAAGCACACATCCGGGGCTTTAAGTTGCACTCCCTAACATCCACCCCATCTGTGCCTACTGGAGTGTGTGAAGGCACTGGTCTGTCAGAACCATAGCTGCAGCATCTCCATAACTCAGGGCGACAGCAGGATGTCAGAGAGGAGTTTAGGTGAGGGTCCAGTATTGATGGTGTACCAGAAGCCAGAGGCCTTGAACCTGACCAACAACACATTATGCAAGGAATATTTGCAAGTAATACATGATACACAGCAGATCCCATGCCACTAAGTTGAATGAAGAGGCAATAGAGAGATGGAAAAGAGGAAGCCAAGTGGCTTGTTTGTTTTTCAAGCAATATTCCTACTTATATTTTATTCATTTTTTATTTTTATCTTACTTTTATTATTTCTTTTTTAGTATTCCTGTGGGGAAGGTTATATGGGTGAAGGATAGATATGGAAGGACTGGGAAATGAGAGGAATTGGGGTACGTGATGTGAAATCCCCAAAGAAACAATAAAAAATTATGTTAAAAATTAATATACATATATGCATGTGACTAGAAAGAATGAAAAATGGAGGCTTTGAATTTGAAAGAGATAAGGAAGAGGTATAGTGCATGGGGGAAGGGAGAAATTATGTTTGTTACTTCCATTGTGCTTAGTAAATATATACAAACATATGCAATTAAATTAAAATGTAATTAATTAAAACTAAAACTTGGCTATAAAGATGCATATTATAGAATACAGCAACAAAAGTTATGAACAAAACTTAAAACTAAAATAAAGTATGAAGAATATTTAAATAAACTATTATGTAAACAAGAAGAAACACTATATAAATCAAAAATATAAAGAAAAGGAAACAATGACTCAAAAGATAAGAGAATTAGAATAGAAAATGAATACTTGAAAAATAAAGGTTTCAGAAGGAAGAAAAAAAGTAACAAACAACAAAAAATTTTACTGAGTAAAAAGACCACATGTTTGCTGAGATAGTCAAAGGTCTTCTATGATCCAGGCACTCAGACATGACAATGTTGACTAATGGCTGAAATTCCTAAACTTAAAGGATAAAGAAAACAATCTTTCATACTCTAAGCAGGAAATGGCAGCTTGGTTACAACATTATCACTGGAATTCTTATCTGTGGGCTGGTATACAGCCCAGCTTTAGAAACACTTGCCAACCAAGTAGGAGACACCCTGGGTTCCAACTCCAGCATGGCCAAAGAAAGTTCATATAAAACACTGTGAGTAATAGCAGTCTGAAAAAATACAGAACCCATAGGTCAAATCACATTATAAACATTTTCTCCTCAAAACCTGAGCATTTTATACAGAAATATAAAATGCAGGATTTAACTCAAAGAAAGTTTACTCAGAAAATAATATTTTCAGTTAAAAAAATTAGATCAACCAAACATACACAATGGACTAACAAGAGAGGCTGGGGTAAAAAAGGGGAAGAAAAGAGGTTATAAGGGCAGTATGATCACTATACAACACATTCTTGGAAATGCCCTTCTGTATCATAATACCATATATAATGAATATATATATATATATAAAGAAAATCAAAGATATAGAAAATCTAAAATTAATTCTTAAAAAATTATAAAAACATGTAAAAATCCCCCAAAAGTTCCTTCAAAAAGCTAATGGTTGCTGAAAAATGTTATTTTCAAAGGACCAGTGTAGGGTGAGAAACATAAGAAATTCAAATACAGGCACCAAAACAGAACACAAGAATTAGTTCTAGCTGTTGTTTAGCATGGTAGAAAAACTACAAATCAAAACACAATACATTTAAAAATGGTTAGCAAAGTATCAGTTTCTCAACACATAAAAGTGACTGTTTGAAGACACAGAAATGTTCTTTGCCCTAATTTGATTACTATATACTGTACACATGTGTCAAATTATTATAATGTACCTTATAAAAATATAACTGAGTAAATAAAAATGTTAGAAAATAAATAATATTCACTATCAAGAATGAAAAGGAGAGATAAGCACAATTACAGAACATATTATGAATATTATGAATGACATCCTAGCAAACTATTAAAATCAGTGCATAAAGGGGAAAGCAGTATAACCGGAAGGATACTAATCATGTTCTTGAAGCAGGTAAGAATAAGACTTGGGTTAAAAGAGAAAAGAGCATCCTCTTTGAATGAGGAAGCAATAAAAATTCTAAGCTTTCGAGGCTAGAGAGAGCACTGGCTGTTCTTCCAGAGGTCATATTCAATTCCCAGCAACCACATGGTGGTTCATAACCATCTGTAATGAGATCTGGCGCCCTCTTCTGGCATGTGGGCACACATGAAGGCAGAATGTTGTATACATAATAAATAAATAAATCTTTTTAAAAAAATTCTAAGCTTTCAATTATTACTCAGTTTTAAAGAATGCCAAACAGAAACCTAAATGTATCTTGTTGGATTTAGAAGAAAGGAATTTGATGTTCATATCAAAGAATTGCCAAGAAACAATGATGAAGAAGAATAAGTATAGTCTTCACAACCAGAATAGTGAAAAAGAATAGGAATTCTAAGACAAACCTAAGTATACGTGGACAGTTACAGTCTACAAAACTAGAAATTTGTGAGAAATAAACAGCTGACGTAGTAAATTACTGCTGGGCAATTGCCTCTTTGCCCAAATGAAAATAAAATCTGTATACTATATTCAGAGAAGAAATTTCAGATAAATTTTGTTTCTACATATTTTTTTTTAAATTCAGAAATTGTTAGGTGTTGGTAGTGTGGATATGCTTAAGCGGAATAAACTTGGGAGGCAAAAAGACGTAATAGGTACATTTGCTAAAGTAATTACTTTTGGCAAAATTAAGCACCACAAACAAACTGGAAAGTCAAACTATAAAATTGAAGAAACTATGTGAAAATGAAAACTCACAAGGCTTAACTATCTTCAATATAAAGTACATACCAATTTATATTTTCCTTTTTATCCCCCTCCACTTCTATCCTCTTCCTGCAGAAATAGGGATGGAACACGGGGTCTGATGTATGCCAGACAGGTGTTCTACTACTGAACTAACAGCAAGCCTACAAATTAAATCAATTTTTGAGAACATAATATGTAAAAGTTGGGATATATGATTTTGTAGGCATGTTTAATAAAAAAGCACTATAAAATATAAACATGTACATATATGTGACCTACATAGAGCTCAAATGTATACATTTGCTTCCTCTTCTATCTCCTCTTTAAAAATAAATACAGTCTAAAATCGGCAGGTTTTGTTTTCATTCATTACCAGTAGCCCACACATTATAAGCAATTGCAAATCTATTTGTGACTGACAAAGTTTAGAATTTTTCAATTAAAATAAAAATAAGAACAGGTAAAGAGTATTCAGTGTTAATTTCACAAATAATTTGTCAACAAACAGCAATTACATGGCTAAGTAAAGCTGAACTTTAGTAACTGAAGTAACAAATTAAAGGAAGTAAATATTATGCAGTACTTGTGTGGATTTGAAGAAATAAGCACAAAATCATATTGAGAGGTAGACTTTTAACTTTTCTGATACATAATGTCTAAATACATATTATGTTTATGCATCCTCATGTTCATTCATCTCACTTTAGAATGTCTATCCTACAGGAGTAAAAAACTGTATAATGAAATATACATGTAGATATGTTTTACAGCAATATATTTCACAGAGGAAAAGCTAGAAATAAGGGTTTGGAGAGAGAGTTCAATAGTTAAGAGCACTAGCTTCTCTTGAAGAGGTCCTGGTTTCGGTTTCCAGCATCTACATGGTGACTCACAATAGTCTTTACGTACAGTTTTTGGAGAATTGATGCCTTCTTTTGGCCTATGCAGGCTCCAGACATGTATATGGTGCACACATATACATGCACACAAAACACCCATAAATAAAATAAAATAATAATTACAAGTGTAAAAACGAATAAAATAGTTGGATACACATTCTGAATGTCTATCAAAAGGAGAATGGTTGCCCCTTCTCCATATGGAGTATTATTAAAAGAGAGATATGTGCTGCTATTGCAGATGTAGCAAGTTGACTAGAGTATTTTCCTTACAAATATAGGGATTGTCATGAAGGAATTTTCCAGATGTAATAAAAACCCCTAATCAGAGAGATAAAAGGATAGTATCCTACATAATATGAATGAACTTGACTGAAGCTGTTAGAAGCCCTTATAAAAGAAGGCTAAGGTATCCGGTGGAAGAAATTCTACCTGTAGAATATGTATTTTCCTTACAAATATAGGGATTGTCATGAAGGAATTTTCCAGATGTAATAAAAACCCCTAATCAGAGAGATAAAAGGATAGTATCCTACATAATATGAATGAACTTGACTGAAGCTGTTAGAAGCCCTTATAAAAGAAGGCTAAGGTATCCGGTGGAAGAAATTCTACCTGTAGAATATGTTTCTTGTGATCTTCTCTCTTACTAACTTTGTCTTGTACCTGACAACGTGGTCTCTACTCATGACCTTCCATGCCTGACTGCCTTCTGTTCAGATGTAGGAAATTAGTTGTCCAACCTTTGCAATCACATAAGCCAATTTCTTATAACAAAGCTTTTCAAAGTAATCCTGGTTATGCTTCTCTACTTGAATCTCAACTGATGTGAGGAAGTATAGAAGGTTCAATACCTAGTTAGTTATGCAAGAAAAATTTAGTTTAAAAGACCAATTGCAAAGCAATATGTAAAACACATTTTTGTAAGTGCACACATATGTGCCTGTGTATGTATGAAAGAGAGGGAGGCAGAGGGGGGAAGGAGAGAGAGAGGGAGGAAGGAGAGAAAGGAGAGAAGGCTAGAGATAGAATGCTTGGGATAAGTATGAAAAGAAACACAGCAAATTATTAATGTTCATTATCTCATAGAAGATTCTACCACTGAACCTTGGTGTTCTTGTGGGACTCCTAACAGTGGGAAGGGGGGTGCCTCTGACTCTTTTAGTGGATCTGGGGGAGAAACTAGGAGGAATGGAGAGAGGGGGAGGCTGCAGTCAGGATGTACTGTATGACAGAAGATAAAAATTCCTAATAGTGTTTTCTTTTTTAATAAGCTAAAAGTATACTGACAAATATTCAGCTTACAACACTATCCAATAAGCTGTTCTTTATTCACTTTTTAAAAAAATCATACAAATTTCAACTATGCAATTTCTCATGAAATTGTTAATATTCTAATAAAAATTAGTCACTTATTCAGGATTTATTAAATTCTGATTAATATTAAAACAAGAGTGAGAGGAAATGCAAATAATGCATTATATATTTCTCCTATGATTTAAATGCTTATCATGGCCAAGATTTATAATTAAATCTACACACAAAACAATAAAATTATGTCAAATATACATGGCAGCCATAAAGTATTAAATGGTTTGTAGAAATGCAAATAAAATGATATGAAATGAAAAATGGGTATAAAAATTGCACTTATAGAAATAGGTGTGTGAGAAAGTCAGGAATTCTCACAGTTTTATTTAAATAGAAGTAAAAAAGACTAGAATGAAATATATCAAAACATTTACAATATTACAGTGTATGTTATGATTTTTACCTTTTTGGGTTTTTTTTTTGTTTGTTGCTCAATATTTTCTGCAATTTTCTAACTTAATGTAATCAGGCTGGGGGAAAAGTCATATAAATACATATTTAAAAACAAGACAAAGATGACACAAGCCTGTCAGAAACTAATTTACAAAAGCTTTTCATTAAGAGCAGATCTTTGAAGGCACAAGTTACTAGGGCATTGTATGGGAGATAAGGTGCTAGAGGCACAGGGAATGGCAGAGGCCTTTTAATTAATGCAGATCTATGAACTCAGACTATCCATCGACAGGCCTGACAGCCAGTATCTCAATACCATTCTACATCATGTCTCAATGCAGTGATTGTACTTTAAAAGAAATTACTCTAATAAAACTCTAAGTGTGTTTTCAAGGTGGACTTTAAGATACTGGGAAACAAAAATTACCCTGTCTTTCTGGCCTTTTATCTTTCACTCTGGGCCATTTCGGTCCCTATCATGGTATGATATAAGAACCCTTTTGTGCCAGAACTCAACAAGCAAGCATATTTTTCTAGAGGCAATTTCTGCAGCCTTGAACATTAGACATTTTAAGGTACAATTGTATTTGACGAAAACATGAACCAAAACAAAAAACGTTTCTAGGAATTAGAAAGGTTAATTTATCTTATTTGCTGCCTCTCCCTCAGTGCTGGGCTCATGCATTTCAGGTAAGTACTCTATTTTTGAGACCATCCCTGGCCCTTCATTTTTTAAAATGAATTCCCACTACAGTTCAGGTGGGCGTTCATGATGCTGCCCAAGCTGACCTTGAACTTGAATCATCCTGCTTTTACCTTCTGAGTACTGCAATTACAGGTATGAAGCATGGTATTTGACTGATATTTTTATTACAGAAATAGGACTTTGAGGAAGATATTTGGTAGTATTTAATAAGCTACAAATCTATAGCCACAAACCACAGCCACATAAACTGTTTCCATCCAAAAAGGATGTTTTATTCTGAATCTAAATGAAATGAGTGCTCATAGTTTTTGATATTTTTGTATTTTCTCTAATTTATTTTTAAATAGTTCTAGAGTAGATGACTATGTGCAGATTGTTTTAATTATAAGTTAATATATGAAGTAACTTTATAAGAATTAAATACTCACATGCCTTTGTCCCAGGCACTAATACTACCACCTTAATAGAGGAGGTCTAAATAGCTTAACTCTGTTAGACATCAATTTTCACTGGTAAAATGAATGTAATTCAAGATGTGTACATGTAATTTGGCCTTCTCAGAACCCAGTATAAAAATGAAATAAACCTGTAACTTGAAAGGGTCCTAAGGTTTTGAATAAAACCAGATCACTTCTGTCTTAGTTAGGGTCTCTATTTCTGTGAAGAGACACCATGACCACAGCAGCTCTTATAAAGGAAAACATTCAATTGACATCTCAGCTTCCAATTTAGAGGTTCAGTCCATTATCATCATGGTGGAGAGTACAGCAGCACACAGGCAGACATGGTGCTGACTGTATGTTGATTAGAAGGCAACAAGAAGTGGAGACACTGAGACACTTGGTGGTATCTTGACCATATATGAGACCTCAAAGTCCACCTCCACGGTGATACACTTCCGCCAACAAGGGCACACCTACTCCAACAAAGCCACACCTCCTAATAGTGCCACTCTTTCTGAGATTACGGGGGCTAATTACATTCAAACTACCACACCTTGCTTTGGCCTTCATTAGAATTGTTTCTACTTTCTGCCTTTGAAGTTTACTGAAGGCTGGGGATGTAACTCACTAGCAGCGTATTTGGCGAGCATGGCATTTATTCCTGGCAACACAGACAAAGAAAGAAAGCTATCCTTCTAATTGGTATAACTCTACCAAATCTCCATCGACAAATCAGTTCATAAACATGTCCTCCTTATACACCTAAAGACAGAGAGATCTATGAATTTATGGAGGTTACAGAATAGGATTCATGACTCCTTTGTGTTTGCTTTCCAATACATATGTGTGTGGTAGGAGGAGAATTGAGTTTGGAACCGGATTGTGGTATAATATTTTTATCTGGAAATAGGTATTAGGTATGATCAGTGTATAAACCATACCCATTGGTATTAACAAAGATAAGGAATCACCATAGTGACTTAGGTCAGTTTGTGCCAAAAATCTTCCCTTTGACTCTAGAAAGAACTCAATTGTATCCCTCTATGGAAGGTTCTTCACAATTATATTTTTTTTCTGCTCTCAGGTCACTTACCAATTTTTTCATCTTCCTGTACCATTTTCCTCTCTTCTCTGAAAGCTCTGAGCCAACGTATTTTCTCCTCCAGTTTCTTGGCAAAGAACAGATGAACTTCTTCTGTTTCCTTGTTATGAAGCTTGAAAGCATTTTTCATGCTGACATTAAAATCATCATCTCTGCCATCTTCAATGTCAATCACCTCATATTTATCCATGTCAATGCGGCCTTTGTAATATAGGATGTCTCTCCGGATTAGGTCCTAGGTTGGATGAAAGAGGTTATTTTGTCAGAAGTATAGGTAGAGCGGATGCCAGCAGAGGTGGCACTTGGTTACAACAGAACACAAACACTGTCATTATTCAGGAAAATAAATGGAGATCTTATAGTCTCAATACATGCACCGAGATGACCAGTTGGACACTGACAAGTTGGTTTAAGTAGATGCTCTAAGAGATGACTCGCATTCAAAGACTGATTCAAACCCCAGCACAAATCACTGGAATGCAAACGGCTTATAAGCAGTAGAAAGTAGTATGCAACAAAAGCACTACCAGGAAAGAATTTTTCATCTTCCAAGAACTTGGCATAATTACCAGAAGCATAAAATGAACTTGCTGGGATGCGCTGAAAATCTCAAGCAGGATACTGAGAATAAAGTTTTAAGTGAAAGTTCAGTGGTGAGAGTTACTAGAAGGTCATAGACTGTTGGGATAGAAAGAGTTAACCGTAGTGTTTTAATATTTAGTGTTTTTGGACAAGAGTTAGTCTCACAGGAAACTTGGCTAAAAGAGGGCAAAAAAATACATATATCAACACAGATGAATCTCATGATCAAATACAGTGTTCTCTATCTTTTGTTTTACTCATCTATAATAGAAGTAGATCAATTCTAATTCTAGTCAATTTGACACTCATCCTAAGTCTGTACATAGTGCTCTTACTTTTCTACTTTCTTGTTTGCATTGTAATGACATATTGAGTATTGGTGAGCCTTCCATTCTATGCAAAGCTAAGACCCCCAAACACTGTCATTAGAAACCTCATGTTCATCATTGACTTCATTTACCCTCCATGTAAACTGATTTTTATTTTTCCACAATCAATATAGAAAACAATGCTATATATTTTAGAGACATAGATAAATAACAAACTTCTAAGGACATATGACAATGACATATAGCAAATTCAAGAGTAGTGGAGAAAATGGAAGAAGTGAGTCAGAAATGGAAAGGAACATGTCCTACTTTGCTTTCTATTGCTGGGATGCACAACATAACCAAAAGTAGCATGGGGACGAAAGGGCTTCTTTGGCTTATAGGCTATCATCAAGGAAAGTTAGGACAGGAGCTCAAGGCAGGAACCCGGAGGCAGAAACTCAAGCAGAGACCATGGAAGAATGCTGCCTTACTGGCTTGCTCCTCATGCTTTGCTCACCTACCTTTCTTGTCCAACCCAGGCCCGCTTGCCCAGAGATTGCATTGCTCACAGTGCTTTGCACATTTCTTTGCCCACTGATATTTCCCTCTTCTCAGATGATTCTAGCTTGTGTCATTTGAAATATCTACATAGCACAGTAGTAAATTAATTAAGGGTCTTACCCAGCTATGGACACTAAATACTACCATACTGACATATTAGGCAAAATATGTCTATTTGCACAATGGTATGACAGTTTAGGGGGTTCACAAACGGCATTCTGATTAGATATGCAGAATGCCACATGGGAGGAAATATATGCTAGGTATTGTAAACCTGATTTTGAATTATTCTCAACAGATTTGTCAATCTCAAATCCTTAGGCTTGAAAATGCAGGTACTATTTAGCTGTTTTGCAGCCAATAACCATCACATAGTTCTTTTTGCTGCTATAATTATTATGCCTACAAATAAAGTAGAATACATATAGGTTCTGATCAACTGGGTACCCCTGCCATTAGGCTCTGACAGATCTCTTGGGTATGTGTAAAACGAAGATCACAGGAGAGACGGAGGCCAGTTGCACAGAGAAGGCTAATAGTTTTCAGGCCTGTTTCAACCACGTCTGAGGTGCACAAGCTTAGTCCTGGCCCAAAGAATGGAGTGACTCCCATGAAGGGATTTCAAATTCTCAGGCACATTTTGGGAGATACATGCTCAAAAACTGAGCACTATCAGGCAAACTGAAATAGGTGAAAGGAGAATGATATGGGAGAGTGTATGGATGTAAAGTTTGAATTCTCCCGTACAGCTGATCACATGGCATATACACACCTGGAAAGACAGATCTGGACGGCACACTGCATAATGGCTGTCTTAACAACCACAACTTCCTGGTTCTTAACCTTTGTACAAACAATTACTTCTCCCCTCTACCAAACTTGTGCTTCACAATCATTTTCAATTTTAAGTGCCTTTGGCAGTTTCCTAAAATTTAAGTATGTGCCTGATCATCGGACTCCTGTTACCAGCATTAATCATAATATCTTAATGTTTATATATTTATGTATGACAAAGGAACAAGGAAATATTCTATGTCTTTAGCAGAAGAACAGGGATTAGAATGACGTATTGTTAAAACTCTGTTAATTTTTTCTCTCTGTGGCTGATAGAGGGCTCAATATGAGTTTTCAGGCATCAGATTAGTGATAATCTAAGTATAGGGATATGATAGAAATGATTAGGAATCCTCTACAGCCTCAGGAAGTCCAACCAGAATGGGTAGCAAAGGCCATGAAACAACATGGGACAGTGAAAAGAATATGAATAAATACAAGTATCTAAATTTGAGTTCTCGATGTCTAACTTGCCTTGGGCAAGTCAGTTAGCTTCTCTCAGTCTTAATTATTGCAACTGTAAAATTAGAAAAGTTAGCCTTATATTAAATAACTGCAAAGCTCCAACCCTATGAAGTCGGCCTAGTCCAGTAAATGTAACCTTGTGCCTTTGTGCTCCTTTAAAATCATTTTTTTAATAAACCCTCAAATTTTACTGACTCTTGCAACTTAAACTGTCCAAGCAAGTCAAATTTAAAGAAAAGACAAATTCCAATATTTTTTAATTTACATTGCCACTGATTCTAGAAATTTAACATGCATTTAAGGTAGGAAAGTACTTGCTAACGCACTCATACAAAACACAAATCTACTTGGGCTCACTCTAATGTATCCTTTTCTTCCCAGTCAGCTCTATTTCAGTCCTTCTAGCCTTCATTATCAAAGTCACAAAATCTTCCCCAAAGAAATGTTCTCTGATTAGACATTCTAGCTGTTGTGGCTCTCGTTGTATAAAGTCTAATACTAACTATGAAGGCTCTTAAATGCTACTCATTTGGCATTTAACCATCATGCCAATTACAGCATTTAGTTTTGTTTGTTAATTTAGATTGTGCTCATCACTCTGTCTTTTTTGAACTTGCTTCACTCACAGATTGTCCATAGAAAGGCAGTTTCTGAGGTTTCTTGGGCCTTTGGAAACAGCAAGACAAATTCTTCCTGAGTCCTAGGTGCTTGTGGTACTGTTTGTATTACATGGTTTAATGCCTCCCAAGTGGCGTGGTGATAATATGCCCCAAATAGATACTATTTGGATCACAGTTTCCCTGTCTAGTAGAATTTACTGTTTCTAACAGGATACCAGCTTTTCTCAGTTGCCCAAGTCATGGGACATAGAGAGCTCCAGAATTGTTTTTATAGCTGTTAGAAACCAAGCTCCCAGACACAGCCTGTGGCTCCAGCAAGGACTACCCTAATCCCTGCCATTACATAATTCAAACAGCTCACAGATATTTCAACTTGATCCCACTAGGTAATCCTAGGATTTAGCAAGACTTCATAGGACATTTTGTACAAATGACAGATGCTACAATCTGGAATATAAAGCTGTTCAGGATTATAGCCTGCCTTACTTATTTATCAGTAAGTTTGTTTCTACTATTTTAGAGAGGGTCCTGGCTATGCTTCCCCAGTCTACAACCTTCCTGTTTTCTATCCAGATCTTGGGCAATGCATGTGGACAAGGCTGAGCTTGTGTTGTCACTATGATATTCCAACATGTAGAGCACATCCGTAGCAGTCAAAACAAAAGTAACTATGGCATCAGCCAGCAGTGAGTACTTGAACAGCATATACGCTGTGCCAACTGCTGTCCTAATGACTTTGCATTTGTCAACTGCAATATTGCTGATAAAGTGCTACAAGGTAGGAAGCTGCATTGGATGAGGAACTATAGATAGAGAACCCCTGCTGAACTTAATTAAGATTAAAGGGTGGAGCTAGGCTTTGGGTCCACACATCCGGCTCTGAAATCTGGGCCTTTTATTGAGAAATGTATTACATATTGCTTTAGAATTAAAATTGCTAAGTAAATGCTTAGCAACATGACATATTCTGTAATTGTATTAATTGCGAACATTTAGTAAATAGAATGTGCCAACAATTATTATCTGCACCGCCTCATTTGAATTTCATGACTTCCTTTGGATGTCTATTTTTTTTCAAATGAGGAATAATTATAAGCAGAGAAAACTTATTTAAATTCAGACAGCTCATTGGAGAAAAATAATGAGTATTCGGCAATCTGCCTGTATTAGACATGCTTTTAACACCATACTTCACTGCTTCCTGCTAGCTATTATGGTTTCCCTCTAGCACCTTTCTGAACTGTGTTCTATTACTAGTTCAGTTGGACAGTGGAGAATATAGATTAAAATAGATGAATGAGAAGAAGATAAATAAAAGAAAAATAGATTAAAAAGTACTGGCTAACATTGGACTTGATTGGTAAGAAGTGAACAGAGTCTAGTATCAATTTTTCTGGTTCAAACTCCCTTATCTATCTTATATCTATATTGTCCCTGTTTCTTTCCTTAAGATAGATTTATTTATGTGTACAGGTGTGTGCCTGAATTTATTTATTTGAAACATGTGAGGGCATGTGAATGTGGACACCAGAAGAGGACACTGAATTCCTTGGAAGTAGAGTTATAGGTATTTGTGAGCCACCATGTGGGTATCTGAACTGAACCCCAGGTCTTCCACAGAGTACTGAGCGCTCTTAACTACTGAGTCACCTCTCCACCTCCCCATCCCTCCTGCTTATTGCTACTTTTGTATTTGAGTTGTTTCAAATGGCTCATGCTGCAATTCTGTCCTTTCAGTACAAGAAATGCACTTCAGTACAAGTCTAAATGCACAAACTTCCCCGAACAAAAGTCCTCTGTCCAGCACCATTACATGTAATTTAGTTCTTATCCCTCAGAATATTGTGAAAGCAACATAAATGCAGTGCAGTTATGATAGCGGACAATGGACCATGGCAGTACAAGCACAAGTAAGAACAGTGAATGCAGATAAAAGGTTGCTTGGGACGATAATGGGCATGTAGGAAAATTGGTGGATAATGGGAAAAAGAGGTCTGTTCTTTTCCACAGTAAACAGTGGAAAGGGAGAACAAAAAGCAAAATACGGCGAATTTTTTCTAAAACATCAAAATAATTTCAAAATAATGATATCTTGGAGAAAACAGCAAAACATGTACAAAACTAAACTAATAGAGTTGCAGAGGCAGCCAGTGCACAGGATAAGAGGAAAGAGAACAAAAGGGTCTTACCATTTAAAAAAAATGACAAGGAAAAAAAAGGAACAGAAATTAAAGGAGCTACTGGTGTCTTTCATGTGTATTATAACTGCTATTTTAAAAGTACCCTGCTTTATGCTTTCCTCTACAAAACAAACTCCAAGCTGTACAAGATGTTCAAACTCTTCTGAGTGCTTTATTCAATCCCAACTCCCAGTGTGCAAAACAGGCAAGGTTTTGTTTAACTGGCTTCATGTTAAAGAAACTGAAAGAGTCAGACAGAAGTTTAGTAGGTGGACATTAGTTGCTGAATTTTGAAGAGTAGATTGAATATTTAAATGTTCCCTGTGTTACCTGTAGCAGATAATTATGCAGTCCAGAGTTGGGTAAATCTACTGATGGGGACTTCACCAACTTACAATATTATGCCTTTTGTTGAAAGTAGGGGTTGGACAAGCTTCACATGCATCTGCACCAGTCCTGTCCCTCAACTGCCACTACATATGCATTGATCTCATTTATTCTTCATAACAATCCTGTTGATTGTTCGCCCTGCGTTAGGGATGATATAATGAAGGTGCATGAAATAGTTACTTGCTTGCTTGAAATAACAGGCATGCTAAAACCAGGATTTAAGAGCAGAACCATTTGACGTTATCTATCCCTCCATGTTCCTTCTCTCTACAAGGAAATTGTGAGAAAATTTTAAGTGGCAGCGAAAGGAATTATTCTTGGGGCTGGGAATTTGGCTCAACTTGGTAGAGTATACACCAAGTCCTTGGTTTGATCACTGGCACTGAAAGGTGGCACATGCCAGCAATCTCAGTGTAGAAGCAAGAGAGATCAGAAGTTTGAACTTACATTCTGATACATAGTGAGCCCTAGGACATGCTGAGGTGCAGAAGACCCTGTCCCAAATTAAATCAAACAAGTGACTCCCACCCTGAAATATAGATTCTCTCTGTGAATTTCAGTTTTATCCTCCATTTCCGGAATAATACAAATAAAGTTCTTATCAAAACATCTTAACTTGTTCTTAGAAACAAATGCTGAGCCTGCAGGATTAATTAATCTTGTCCTAAATATTTAGACTACTTAATAATCAATTACAAAATTTGGACAAGCTTAATGGCAATAGTGACACAGAAGTCGCTTGTTTACAACCTTGCGACAGTTTGACTAGTTTTAGTCCCTGGCTGGAGAATGCAGCTCAGTGGTGGACAACTTGCCTTACAAGTGCAAATTCTTGGGTCAATATCTATCCTGAGAAATGAAAAAAATGAAGGTTAATCCCTAGTTTCATTATTTATCAGCCATGATAAATACAAAATTATCTTGTATTTCAATTTCATATATCATTAACATGTGAATAATCACAGTATTTCCCTGGCAAATTTGTCATGAATACTGAATTAATGAATTTAAAGTTATTTAAATAGAATCATAGAGGCATTCAAATAATGCCAATTTATCACTACTTTTTATTAATTATATTTTCCACAATATAGTTTTCTGTTCTGAATACTGGTCTATTTGCCTATCTATATGTTTGTCACATATTTCATTAGTATTTATAGTATTGCCAAGATTTCCTAAAGTAACTCCACCAGACACAGCTGAGCATTATTTCAGTAAATAAAAGTGTAAATTTTTCTCTTACGTTATACTAAATTTTGTTAGATTACAGGTCCCATGAAGGTAGATGTGACTGTCACAGAGTATGCACTCAAAATAAAAATTCAGAGCCATGAGATACTTTATTGCAACCTCACATCCTTTGGGCTTCAATTCCTCTTGGTTAAGGACTTTCTGTTTCTCAGTTCCCATTAAGTCTTTGGTCTCATGAAAGGTCTTATTAGACTATTAGCTATTTTTCTTCCTTTATTTTTAATACCATTCAAGTACTTAGAAATATTTAATATTATCTTGAATAATTTTAAACTAACCTTCCAGGATTTATGAAATTATTTGTGTTATTCCTGTTAAGTATCACATTTCTGAAGGACTCCTTTTAAATATGAGCTTATCATCAGAAAGAATAATGTAGCCATATTCAATTATTTAATTGTTGATTAGCCCATTCTTTCTTTATGAAAAAAATAACTGAGCTTTAGGGCATCCATTTAAATTGTGTTCCAGAGATGAATCACGTGAGATGAATCCTTACTCAATTCAACCCACTCTTAGCCTTGTCCATCTTTCCCTTTGTCAAAGGTTATCTTTAACTCCACAAAGGTGTGCCACCCCACCCCCACCCCAAGTACTACTCTTTTGCAGTAATGGTAAGAACAATTTGGCAGACATAATACTTTGCTCTTTTGCATACCTTCTTTCTACCCCATTCTTATTTTTGATTTACCTCCTAGTTGATAAATAGAAAGTAGAAAGATTTATTGCACATCTCATGGAAATCCTCAACCATGGACAAACATCAGATACTTTTCATGGCTGTAGCTTTCCAACCCTGGGAAGGCAGTGTAAGAACATCCAAGTATGTGGAGTAAACAGTCTTGAACTCTAGGCTGGCTTTTGTTCTGGAGAGAAAGCCATGACCTCACGAAAACAAGAAAACTCTCATCTGAGAGAAGCTATGCCTTTATCAAGATGTCCATTGTCTTTGCCATCCTGTTGTTTGCTTTTTCCCCAAACTCTTAACATGGCTGCTCTGAATCCAGAAGCCCTCCCTTAACTTCTGCTGTTTTTTAAATCATTGTCTTTCCAACTAGTTGTCCTAGAATTGACACACCACTTCATCTTGGTGTTTTGCTGCCCCTTCACTCCTAAATAGAGCATATTGTTCCATCTTTTTTTCTTTTCCTTTATCCTTAGGCTCTGCTTTACTCTTGTGTATCTGCCTCCTTAGCCACTGCTTTTCAGAAGTCAGTTTCACATTTTACTTAAAGCAACTGCATCTTTCAGGGACAGATGCAAAAATCAAGAAGTATGGGCAGGTAGTGTGGAACCTTGAAATAAAACAGGCTCCTAGTTTCTCTGTCTCTCTCTCCCTTCTCTTTCTTTCTCTCTCCTCTTTCTCCTCCACCAAGCTCCCCCATTCTCTCAGTCTCTCCTTCTCCCTTTCCCTTTGCCTCTCTCCCCCTCTCTCTAATTGTTCTAAGCAAGAACATACATTAGTGGGAAGAATGGACATATGCCTGTTGGTGACATAGCTAATAAACTAAGCGCTTCCTTGTTGTTTTAACTAACATTCAGAAGTTCTGACTCTTGGTTCATATGAAAGTTCTGCTAGGAGTTGGGGGAGCTAAGAAGAGACATTGGTGTTTTGCTGAGTCTCAGATTCATACGTTTCTCTCCCAGGGTCAAATCCAGTCTGAAATAACTACCTTAACCCACTAGCAGGTTACTGGTTCCAGATCTGGCATTCTGAGCTTATCGACAAACACCAAGGCAGTTTGAATCTCAGCTCGATTTACTCTCTCAGCTGATTGTGAAAGGCAAACACGTAATGATTTAATGTCGAACACACTACACACATGCACACCCACAGAGAGCAAGGGACATAAACTAGATGTCTGCTTAGTGTTTAACTTGGAATGTCATGATTTGGCACCACTCTTTAGGGACATTAGCTACTGGGTAAGGAAGATCACAAATGTAAAAAAGAGGTATTATGTAATAAAGAAAAAGCCAAAAATGTGAACAAATTTTGAAAGTCACTCGGAGTACTCTTGATTTCTCCCTCATTTTCTCACTTTGTGTGATTCAAAATTCTTCCCAGCCAAATCTTACTGACAAAGCTGGGTTGTGCCTCCTGTCATGAAAGAAGAAACAATATCCCATTAGGATCCCTCAGAAGAGATTATGTGGGGAACATATGCTATCCCTCTATCAAAGAGAAGTGGCTAAGAAGCCAATATTCACAGAGGTATCCAAGGATCAGTAACGAGTACAGGATGTCTCTTCAAAGGATTACAGGGATAGGATATCCAGCAATAACATGAGTGAGAATGTTTGGGGCAACTGATGCTACCCTTTGTATAGGAAATGGATAGAGGTATGAAGAAAACTCTTGTACCACAGATGACCTAATTGTTTGAATGACAAGTTGTCCCCTTGTTGGTTCCTAGGATAGGAAGTGGGCAGGTGGTTCCATTAAAGTGGAAATTGGGAAAGGTACTCTTGGAAGCTATTCTTTGCTAAGTCGGATTACAAATACAACAATATTCTTCAACACTGGTCCAAATTTGCTGGTTATCTGCTGTGGGTGCAAGAGGCTCAGAAGGAATACCACAAGAGTTATGAGGGAAAACAGAATTGCTATTGGGATAAAAATGAGTTAACCTCAGCATTTCACTGTTGCTTATGATCTTCACGCCATGCCAGCACTTCTGATATAGAGCTGCTGCCAATTTCCTCTGGCAGTTTTTGCCTATTTCTTTAAAAACCTGGGGGTTAATGAAAGAGAAGGAGCTTATTGTACTCCCGAGGTTCTCATCTCTCTTAGAAAAGAAGAGGTTAAATTACCTTCTTGCAGAGGACCATCTGGTGGTCGAATAGGAAGAAGACTCTCTGCTGGTTACGGCCATAGGGCTGATAGATCCAGGCCATCTCTCCAGTGTAGATCAGCTCCGAGCTCCTGTCTAAGATGTCCTCTCCCTAGGAAGGATATGTGATGGTGAGAGAGAGCCAGGTAGTAGAGCTGGTACAATTCCTTACGCAGAGATACCCAACTGCGAGCATAGACTGGACTGGGAGGTTAGCCAAAAAGACATTGTGGCGATGGAGGAAAAGAGAGAGACTTCTGGGTTCCCTTAAAAAGTTTACAATTCTGTAAGTGAGAAGATTCATATTCTTATTTACTGTAGGGTTAAATAAGACCCATCCCTTAGTCAGATAGCCACCCATCTCCTCCATACTTCCCTCTTTTCTTCCCGTATTCTTATTTATTCTGAACTTAAATGAGACCCAAGCAGGCAGGCAGGCATTTTTTTTTATCTTTTATTAATCTCTTTACTGTTCCAGTCTCTCAATTCCTATCTGTCCTCTCACTTACTTCAAGAGAATGCCCGAAAATGTAGTCAAAAATTTTCTATTATCCATATAAAAATGAAATAAGGAAAATATTTTATGATCAAATCAGAAAGTTTACTACACATGCTTCAGCCTATATGAAGATGGAAGAAATAAGCAGTGTCTCAGGGAAGAGAACTCACCATTCCAGAAGATGTATATGGGTCAAATATTATGCTACTTACTTTTTACTCTATCTCATCTGGACCTCACAAAAGTTCTGCCAGATAAACCATCTTGGTCCCATTTTACATCTTCAAGTACCAAGAGGTGAAGGAATAGGACAAGATCATGAAATTTGTTAGCTGCAGATACTCTGATACTAATCTCTGATTTGAGAGAGCACCTTTACTCTTCCCCATAAATTATATGGCTTCTAGCATCGAAAGTATCTAGATGTCCAGTTTCTTCCTCTCCCTAGGTCTGTTTTACCAGCTGTTATATGAGGTGGATAAGCATAATATCTAGAGCACCAGCTTTGGGACCTTTACAGTCAAATGTATACCAAAAGTTCAAGGTTTGATTAAAGATAGAAATCCCTATACTTCCAAAATAGTCAGAATCAAATAGCTCTGGCAGAATAATATGCTAAAAAGAGTGACATCAGGAAACAGTATTCTTAATTGCACCATTTTATCTAGTCTGAGAGATTGGAAAGAAAAGAAGATCTCAGTGGATTATTTTCTAATAACAAAACTTGAAAGCAGCTCAAAAAATACCATTTTGACTCTACCGTCCAAATTGAGTTACAAGAGTATCCAAGATAAAGGTAAACAAACAGTCCTTCTTGAGTTGACATACTAGCATTGAGCCTTTGAATGCATAGGGCTGGGTCAGGCCTCTCCTCAGAGTTGACCTTTCCTGATACAAGAGAGGAAGATGTACCACAACCTATTTGGAGTATGTATAAAGTGAAGAATGAATAAAAGTTGGCTATATAATACAAGTTGATGACAAACATGACTATTTTTGAGTCAGGGTCTTACTATGTAGTCCAGGAAAGCCTGGGACTTGCTATATAGCTCAGGGTGATCTTGAACTTGCAACCCTCCACTTGAAGCTTCCCAAGTACTGGGGATATAGGTATAAGCCACCATGCCCAGATTACAGGATGACTTTTACAGTTACAATTTGATGAACTGAGGATGATCAGACCTAGGGGGATACTCAACATTTTCTTAGGCAGAGGCTTACTAACCCTATTTTAAATAGTTGCTGCATATAAAACCAAGTTTAAAAAATGTTGAGAAAAAAAAACAAACTTCTATGCTCACTAAGCTAACTAACCTTGAACAACTAACATATTTTCATTGTGTCTCAATTTCTTCATTAATTTTTTTTTCAGTTTTCTGAGACAGGGTTTCTCTGTGTAGCCCTTGCTGCCCTGGAACTTGCTCTGTAGACCAGGCTGGCCCCAAACTCAGAGACCTGCCTGTCTCTATCTCCTGAGAGCTGGGATTAAAGACATGCATCCCCACTGCCTGGTTCTTTCTTCATTCTTTCTAGAATATACCATTACAAATTTGTTTAGATGTTGTGAAGAATACTTAAATTAACATAAGTAAGTACTTACTTAGGAATATACGCACGGCATTGTAAACTTTACATATTTTATTTTCATCTTGGGTATTTTTGGGTGTTCCAGGTACTAAGACATATTTTCTGTCTTCTACTAATATAGTGAGCTGATAAAGGACGAGCTGTGATTCTGCTCAAAATCATAAGTCAGAGAAATTGGAAGTAATTTCTCCAAAGAAGCAAAACAAAGTTCAGAATCCCTCCAAAACCCATGTGCCTAACTAAAAGACTTCACTTGAATGATGGTACCTTGCCTAGCAGAAAATCGGCTACAGCAGATTAGTTAGGTGAGACCGTTTCACTGTCTTGTGTCCAGTGCTGTTACTAACTCACTCTGTATCCCTGGGAAGCAGTTTAAGCAGTTACTGTTTGGTCTACTCCACATGCTGCTTTCATTCTTGTCTCCCCAGCCTCACTTATACATCTCTTTATCTTGCACCACAGAGCACAATCCATTCCTACTGCCTCTAAGGGTTTCTGCCTTCTTCCAGCATTTACCACAAACTGCTCACTTTCCTCGGAATCTATTTGCCTACTCCAGATGAACAGGGCCATGTCTGATTCATCTCGGATTCTTTAATGGCTGGCAAGGGCAAGCAAAGAGGGGCTGTTCAAAGGCAAGTCTCCTAAAGTCACATATCAAATCCTCCAGTGTCTTCCATCCAAACTGGAAACAAGGTACTTAGATGAAAACATAGAAGTGATCTCCAATTGTTCCTATACAATTTTCTGCATTTTCCCTAGCTACACTGGCCACTTTCTTTTTTCTTAGAATATACAGTCTCATATTTCATGGTCTTTGTTACAGTTCTTCCTTCTACCTGAGATGCTCTGCCACAAAAAGTCACATGATTTTCTTCTTCATCTTCTTTGGGTCTTTTCTCAAATGCTATCCCCTTTTTGTCATTTCTCCATCATTCTAGCCTATTAAAATATTTTATTTTTATCCATAAAATGCTTATGTGTTGCTTTTCTTCTCTAATGAAACATAAATTATAGAAACTTTGCTCTACCACACATTTCTAGAATACAGAATAGAGCCTGATAGAGAGTAAGCATTCAATAAATGACCTGCAAGGAATCATCAAAGGTTAATAAATGAGTAGTGGCCATTAAACCCTACCCAGAGCTTTCTTATCAGATTTTCATATTTTTTTGCAGCCAAAGTCTCAAGTAGTAGGCTTTATTTAATTTTAATTAATTATAACTTAACCCATTTTGTTCAGCCTTACTTTATGCTGATGACAGGATAATTGATAATACAGCTGTGGTCTGAATGACCCAACAGGCATATTTAACCTGTGATTCATAAGTTGCAAGAATCCTAGGAGACCTATGAATGAATATTGTAGAATATTATTTTAACTGGGCAAAGATGTGTTACATTTGTTTATGCTGCAAAATATTACTTTAACTGTGTAAAGGTGTGTTACTTTTGTTTATGCTGCATTTGTTTAACAATGTGAGGATGTGTGTTTAATTATGTAAAGATGTGTTGTATCTGATTCACCTTGCTTGCCTAATGTACCAGGACTAATAAAAAGCTGAATGGCCAATAGCTAGGCAGGAGAAAGGATAGGCATGGCTCATGGGCAGAGAGAATAAATAGGAGAAATCTAGGTTTGAGAGAGAAGAGAAGAAAGAATAAGAGAAAGGAAGAGAGAATGAGAGAGACATCGGGACAAGAAGCTAGGCAGATGCAAGCCAGCCTGAGACACTGAGAAGCAATGAAAGTAAGATATACAGAATTAAGAAAGGTAATAAGCCCTGAGGCAAAAGGTAGATAAAGAGAGACAGGCTATTTAACTTAAAAGTTAAGGCTAGCTAGAAAAATGCCTAAGTTAGGCCAAGTATTCAAAACTAAAAATAAATCTCTGTGTCATGATTTTGGGAGCTGGTTGGTGGCCCAAAAGAAAAAGCCTGGTACAAATAAGACCCAATATGTTTGTTGATGAAAAATGTCAGGTTTTAATGTCAAAAGGTTTGAACAGTCCAGAAGTAAGGGCAAAAGAATGTCACCTTTTTCAACGAGTTTAATTTTCAGTGGCAGCTGTGTTAACCAATGTGTCAATAAGTGCAGAGAAGTAATGAATCTACCTGGGCCTACGTTTAACCTTCTGGACCAAGGCAAGTCTAGGTCATTTCGTCACCTTCACTTTTAAATGGATACCTTTTCTATATCTATCATACTATTTTGTTGTTTCCGATGTTTCTTTCTGTTATACAGTACAATAGTAAGCCAGAAAAGGACATCAAATATTAAACAAGCAGGCAAGAAAAGGAGCAAAACCACAGAGAGAAAATTATCACCACATTTTCCAGCTCCCAAACATGAGCTACAAACATGGGCACTTTCTGAAGATCTTCAGAAAAAAAAGGCTGAAGAGACACTCTCGGGGTTATGTTCCATTTCTCTTTGTTTAAAATGATTTAATGTGAAAGGAGGCAAAATGACAGCTCATCCAAGCCTCTGAACCAGAGAACTGAGAAATGGAAAATTTCCAGAAACTGCAGTCCATGGAAACAGGCTCTCCTCTCCTCTGCCACTCTAAATTGCTCTAAGTTATAATCACTTCAGGAAGGACATGACAATTTAACTGATCTCTTTATTTTTCAGGAGCTATGGGGGATAGAGTAGTCTTCATATGGTATAATAAGTGACTGACAGGGGAACGGAGTTACATAAAGAAATCTGAATATTCATGAGAAAAAGATGAGGAGAAAGAGACAGACACTGATTTAAGGCAGGGTTTTCTGCTCTTTAGCCAGATAATCTGATTTCCCAAGCCAACGACAATTGCCTGTATGTCACCAATCCTACCTGTCCTTCAAGGGAGATTAGGTTTAGAAGGTTTCCCCTGTGAGAACTGTTTTCATTTGATGAGTAAAGCAGAAATCACCACAAGGACATTTTTTGACAATCCCCACATTTTGTTTATACATCTGAGAGCGGTAGGAGAATGGTCCAGACTGGGAAGCATTGCTTGCCTGTTTATTTGTAAAGCTTGCCTAAGGCAGCCACTGTCTGCTATCTCCTACCTCCTTCATCCTCCAGTTGTTCTCCACCATGCCCTCCAGAAACACTGTCAGAATTAACTATATGTGTCTACTCAAGGAGCACCTCCCTCATTCCAGAAATATAACAGGAAATGCTTTCTCGGATGCTGATTCCTTAAACCATGGCTCAAGTCCTTGGAGTTTCCTAAAAATAAAGCTCTTTAGGTAGACGAAAGGCTTTCAAACTTTTATTCACCTCTTCAATGACTGGAGACTCAGACAAGATATAAAATTAGAAGGGAAAAATTGTTTCAGGGCAGAAGAAAAATCTTCCAGAGAATGGGAATTTGGTGGCTTTTTGGTACCTTTCCTTACAAAGAAGCCCGAAAAAGGGCAGAAAAAGGATCTTGCCGAACAGTTTCAGAGGCTCTCTGTTGGTAAGCTTGCTTGCTTAAAGTAAATTTAGTCAAGCTCCTTATTTCTGCTATACCAAAAGAACAGAGGAAAAAAACACATAAAAGATAATCCATTATTTTCTAGTAAGTCTTGCCCAGTTATGATTTCTCCTTATAAGCAAGACTGTTTGTATGCATGTATGTGTGTGTATGTATGTATACATACATATATATGTGTGAAAATATAAGTGTATAAATGAATAAAATGAATGCATATATTCTCTCTATTCATTTTTTTTGTATCTCAAGGTATCACTTCTATTCTACCATTAGAGGAGTTTATCTATCAAGCAGGATAAGAATGTGCAACTGATAATAACTGTGATGTTTTTAAATCATCTACATTAGGAAGAATAGAAGTAGCAGAAAAAAATTGCCTGAACATTGGCTAACTCTTTGTTAAGACTAATAATGGTCCCCTTTGGATAGACTAAACAATTTGAAATGTTAAAAAAAAATGTTACTTAAACGTAAAAAAATATACCTGAGGTGAGGGCAATACAACAAGGTATGGGATCTACATTTATACTATCACCATAAAGTTTGAGAATGTCACTTCCTGCCTGCTGACATTTTCCTTCTTGGTTATGTCAGCCTACAGAGTATCCGGTCACAAAACTTGGGCCTGTGAGATGAGTAATAAATGTTATTACTCCTAGTTAGTGGCATTTGGGAAGGAAAGGTCGATGACTTCAGTCATTTCCGTTCCAAGTTCAAAGAAACTGTAGGTGTCTACACTGGGATGACTAGGTGGAATAAATTATTTTTAGAATGATGATGAAAACAGAGCTCAGTCGTTGGATTTAGCAGGACGATAGTTATGGCCTAGAATATGCATGCTTGATTAGTCTAGTAGATATACTAAGATGAGGTGATCTCACCAAGAGCAAAAGAAGTATATCTGCTATCTGTATGATTATAAAAAAAGAGTACCAAGCCTTTATTTTGTGCTTTGGAATACTTTTTAATCTGTCTGCGAAGTTCATGATCTTAAATCCAGGACAGACAGAGCATTGGAATGGTACTAAGCAAATTCAGTTGTTTCCTAATAACACCCAAAGAAATGAAGACTATCTTTCTTAATATGTCACAATAAAGTAAAATAAATAAAGTCACACTGATTTCCCCAAACTCTAGAAACTACTCTAAATACCCCTTCCTTGGTAGGAAAGTTTGTTTTGGGATTAATACAGATCCTTCTTTCTAATTCCCTTTTAATTGTTGGCTAAGATGACAAACTTTTCAACAAGCAACTGGGACCTCCCAACACCCGTTTTGATAAAGGTCCTACCTCCCAGTCTAGGACAGAGGCCTGCCATTGCGCGATCTTGTCAATATTCTCCAGACGTCGCTTGCGTTCATTGATCTGCTGAGTCACATTGCGCATGACAGCCAATGCAGCTGCAACGTATCTGTAATCACTGGGAAGGTGTAAGAGCGAAAGGTGGATGAATTGATGTGCAATATGTCAATCTTAAATACATCCTTCCTTTTGAGAAAGACTCTTGATTATCAGATGGTAACCCTACATCACCTAGAGAACAACTACATTTCCAGTCCTATTTTTGGAAGAGATAACTATGTGACTTATGTTCATACAGAAGTTGTGTCAGCCCCATAGGTATTCTACCTGTAAACATTTTCACAGGTGAAATAGACATCTTTATCTTTATGCCTCTCTGTTTGTGTTCTATCTGATAAAGCCAGCCAAGGGTCAAGAAGAAAGCATCATGTATGGCATAGTTCACTCTAGCCATCTCTTCCCTCTGGAAATACAGTCTCTGCCCATGGTCACCATGACTTTTTCTCTGGCACCATAAGGAGAGAGGTATAGCATAATGTATGAGGACACAGAATTTGAAGCTAGACTCCATGAGTTCACATCCAACTTTATTGCTAACTAGAAAAGTTGCCGTTAGCAAGTATCATTCACACTTGATTCAATGTTCTCATGCATAAAACGGGGTGAATTTTGGCAGAATTTATTGAGGGGGTTAATAAATTAAATGCAATCATCCATGCATACTAATTTACTCCTGATCCCCAAGTATTATTTGTATTTTTATTTCAAATGAAGTATTTCTCCAGTAAGTAGATACACTACAGGATGCCCCCAGCCCACAGAATTCTTGGTCTGAGAAGTAAAACCTATACCCTAGATTCTGGAAACATTTGATAACTCATGTGTTGAAAATCCTATAATTCTACCCAATTTTGTCTGCTTGTCTGACCTAATTTCCAATTGAGCAGCTCTTATGAAAGGCAGATTAGACGTACAATTCTAGCCAAATGATACAGACAGAATGACCTGGGAAGGCAATAAGATTCATTACCGCTCAGTGTAACTACCTTCTCTTAGTAAAGCTAAAAAATCATGTGGTTGTAGCGTCCTTCTCTCCCAGCACTGATTAAAGAAAATGTCATGAGAAACAGATGCAGAATGTTATTTTTCTTCTTAATGTATTGGAGAATGGGGTGATGGAACAAGTATGGGCCTAAGGAGGGGACTTCTCATTTCCAGGACGGATGCTATGAAACACCCCTTCTTAGGGAACCACCCAGGGCTCCAACCTGTAACTTTTACACGATCCAAAACTATGGACCTCAAACACTATTATCACATTGTAGTACCAGCTTTTCTCTGAACCAATTCATTCTTTCTCAAGAAAGTTAGTATTCTTATTTTGAGACTTAATGAATGTTATCTATTACTTTGATGAGTCATATTGAGTATATTATCAACTAATTATATTTTTTTAAGTATCTTCAAAACCTGCTATCTAAGGAGCAGGCTCTCTCAACTAGTCCTTGAAGTGCTAACGGCTTGGATTCACCTGCAGAACTTCCTATCTGTCCTGACTGTATGTCATCCTTTCACACCCCTTGTTCCTGTCTAAGGTTGACTTAGGTCTCTACCCTTGTCAGGGTTTCTTCCTGACAAGCCTGTCTGAGCCTGCCACTTAGACACAGGACAGAACAGTGACAAAAATAAGTACATCAGTTCTCCAGGCCCAGTTGCCTATCTGCTGTGTCTTTTTGTTAGTTGATTTGAGGTCATCAGTATTTTAATTCACTTTCTGGGAAGTAATCATTCTGTACAGTATGGTACCACAGTCACATTTAATTAAACTGAAGGAAGCTAATAAAATCAGTTCCTTGGTTGTATTAGTTATGATCTTAGTTACTCCAAGGTCATATACACAGGACACTCAAGTGGACACTGAGGATATCAAAATGCTTTTCCTGACCACAAGAATTAAGCAATCATGGCTGTTGTTCTAGAATGGTTGGTTTTGCCATTTTTGCCGGCTATCTTTCTTACAATGGTTAAAGGATGAATGTTATCGTATCTAATCTGTACTACTAGCTTTAAAGGTGAATAAGATAAGAAAATAGATGTGTTGTATTCCAAATTCTGGTTAGTGTCTCTGAGTTCTCAGATGAGGTCTGCTTGCCACCAATTACTGTGAGTGTGGAACCAAAATTTTCTAGTTTTAGATACATCAATGAACTCTACTATTATGTATTAATATATGTATATATTTTTGTTTTTCTTAACTTAAATAAGGGGCAATTATGTCAAGTTTTCACTAGCAAATGGAATTGTATTTACCGTTTATTACTTTTCATCCAGTCTTCTACCTCAGAGACCTCCCTGGTTGTCTCATTTCATATCTGACTAAGTCTCTAAGACTTGCCTACAGGTTGCTTGGGACATCTTAATATAACTCCCTGAGAACTAAAAAAAGGTTTTCTCTGGCATTGTCTTCTGTCTTTATCTTTTTCTTCCTTAGACATATCCTTACTCCTGTCAGTCTCTGGACCACTGTCATGAGACCAAGTATTATTCCTTCAATTAAGCTGTAGAAGGCTGATAGGGAAATATTTGAAGTTGATGTAGAAATTTGCCTAATAAATGTGATCATTGAATCTTCATCATTGGAAACAGATGATGAAGGGAAAAGCCTACAGACTGACTATTCTGTAGCAAGTGATCAACCCTAGGATCGCACATGCAGAAAACACATATATAAGGTTGTATACATTTATATGTATATATAACAATTTTTAAAGAAGAAGAGGTCTTGAGGGAGCAAGAAAAAAACATGGAAGGAGTAAGGAGGAGGAGATGAAATAGGAAAATGATGTAACTATACTTTATTTTAAAATGCAAGTTGGGGAACTTTAGTGAAAGACTTCTTTTCTTCTTGGAATGCATATTATAAGAATTAGTGCTGAGCTGAACCAACAAGCCCAAAGCCAGGAATTTCATACCAAATAAAGACAAACTAAAAATATTCTGAGTCTCTACGTTTTGAGGTAAGATATATGAAAGGGTGGGGCTTGTTTACTGTAAGGCATCACCATGAATGGGGATTATTTTTAGCACATACCATACTGGTAAGAGATTAATTGCATCATTTCCACTCAAAGCGATAGCCTTCATAGCCCTGGCTGGGGAAGTTTCCCTGAAAAGGATTTAGGAACTGTGGAGTGTGATGTCACATGTCTTTAATTTTAGCACTCCGGAGGCAGATCTGTTTTAGCTAGAAACCAGCTTGGTCTATTGACATAACGAGTTACAGTCCAGGCAGGAATACAGAGCTGGACTCAGTCTCAAAGAAAGAGGAGGGGAAAAAGAAATATTTAAAAACTAAAGAAAAAACATTAAGGAAAGTCTCAATCTTTTTTACCTCCACACAATTTTAAGTCTCTATAAAATGTCCAGAGGGTGGGGTAGAAAAACTCAGTCTGCAATTAGCTTTGTAGAAAGAATGCAGGATTAGTACTTGTTGGGAAAAGTATTAGTAGAGCATCTGAATATTTCAAACAGAATGGAATAAGTGGTTGAGCAGTTACTATGTTAGGTTTGACTCATGAGACTGAGCCTCGTATTAAAAGTCAAGCTATAAGCTGCAGTCCATGAAAGTGTGGTATAAGTTATATAATAATGACAATGCATGGGATTTGGTGTGCATACTGACTTACAAGGTTATACACAACTCTCTAGAGTATAACCTTTACTTTCCTCATAAGGACCTTGTGAAGTAAAGAGGAATATATCATAAACTATCCACAGCTCAGAAACTGAAAAGCTATATATTGTCAAAAGGTACCAATATTTAAAAGACATTTACTTCTGTGTCCTCAAATCCTTTACCTGTGGTCTTGGGCAGTATACTTAAGGAGCTCAGCTAACTGTAAGGGATATTTGCAGATCTTCTGTACTGGAGTCAAAAGAAAACCATCGATAGCAATGTCAATCATCTGCTGCAAGAGTCGGCAGGCCTCAAAAAAGTGTTGATAGCGGCTGTCTTTCATGAGCTTGGAGAGCTCCATGCAGGCATCCAGGTGGTTGTTACAATATTCTGAGTATATCCAGAATCCATCTTGCTGTGGAGAAAAGGAGGAGAAAGGCTCAGAGACTCTAAAGAAGTCTTAAAATAATAGAAAGACAGATCCTGTTCATGAAGAAGGACGCTTAAAAGAAATCCCACACTAGCTCCGAACTGAGTATAATAGAGGGTTATTTATTTAGGGGTAGACTCACAGATCACAATCCTCTGCTGGAACAGGGAACAGCAATCGAATCCTGCTGCTGGAAAAGAAGCCAGATGCACACTTTACATCGGCATAAATAGTATGGCCAACTTAAATGCTACTGGCTGTAGGAATTCCTACAGCAGGTTCATATGTAAGAATATTAAGGTAATGTTAATTTTGATTTGATTCATAATTTAATAATAAAGAATTAAGAGATAGCTATGCAAGTAGTAGCTACAGAAACCAATCGTAAAGTTCATGTGGTGATAATGAGTAAGTGGGAAAAGTAAAACAATTCTGGGTAGTTAAGGGACACCAACTTTACCAATAGTAAACAGAATATGGCAAATAAAATTCTAGTACTTATTAGAAGAGAGTAACCAGAGATTCTAGTTCTTGCAATGACAGACTAACACATTCTGCCCTTGAAAGAAGCTATGAAAGTCTAAAGAGTATAATGAAATTTTCCTGAGGAAATTATTATCCATAAGAGCCCGAGGCCCAGGCTGCAAGATAATGTCCCCTAGATATGACAAGGGAAATGTACTCATGAAATCTCAACATGATTGCCTGAAAAAGACCACCATAATGACAACACTGGCTGACATGCCAATTCTACATGGACCTAACCTAGATAAAGAGCTACAGGTGGCCAATGGCTGCTCTTTCTCTAAAGACAAGCTCCTGTAGAGGTTATCCAATTCCAAAGGGGAATATATGTACATATGAGCTACACCCAATGGACTCAGTAGGTTGTATGTACAATGTGCATATATATATATATATATATATATATCTTGATATACATATATATTTATATATATATATATATATATACACACACATGTACATATAACAATAAATAGTAAGTGATCAAGAATTTTTGAGGGAGAGGGGAAATATGGGAGCAGTGGGAACCAGAGGGCTATGTAGGTGCAATGTTCATGTACAAAGTTCCAAGAAAAAATTTAAAAGACAGTATTTAAAGAAGGAGAAATGGAAAGAATCACATAGCTATCTGAAAACTTTCTAAGAAGCATAATACTGTGGATCCCAAGGACAGAATTAAATTGGTGCGTTCTAGAGATAGCTAGGAGACAGAATGGCTAGATTAAGTTACATGGGGAAAAGAAAAGAAAATATGGGGTCAATGACATAAAAGTATTCTGGATGTTCAGAACCTTAGTGATTTGAGGTTTGAATCTTAGTAAGATAGGAAGTATTGAAGGACCTGACACATTTATAACAAATACATATTTAAAGAACACACATACAAGTAACATTATATGCAGCAAACAAATTATATTTAGGAATATACAAACTCATACAGTTTAATCAACATATTAGTGAATGATGAATGGATCAAAGAGGAAATAAAATATCTCCTGGAACTAAGTGAAATAAAATACAACAAAACCTCTGGTACCCATTAAATGGAGTCCTCCAAGGGAATTTATAGCTAAACTATCATAAAAAACACAAATAAATGACTTAAGGAACCAACAAAATTTTGGAAAAATAAGAATAAAACAAATCTAAACTTGGTCAATTGCACAAAAAAATAAAACTCACAGCATAAATTAATGAACTAGAAAAAATATGAAGAATCAACAAAATTAAGGGCTGGTGCTTTGAGAAAATAAACAAGATCAACAGACCTTTGGGTCAACTAATGAAATGGAAAAACAAAAACGAGCAAAAACAATGACCCAAATCAACAAAATTAGAGTGAAACATGGGACAAATTACAACAGACACCAAAGAAATTCAGAACCTTGTAAAGGAGTATTTTAAAAACCTATATTCCAATAAGCTGGAAACTTGAAATAGATGAAATTCTAGATTAAGTCAAACCACCAAAATTAATCTAAGAAGCAATCAACAACCTAAACAAATCCATAACAAAGGAGAAGACTGAAATAGAAATAAAAACCTTCAATCTACGAACAGTCCAGAGCCAGATGGATTTACCAGGAAATTCTACCAGATATTCAAAGATCTGTAACCAGTCAATTTTAAACAAAAGAAGCAGGAGGAGAAGAAATAAATATCATAAGCATTCCCAAACTCCTTCAATCACGCTAAATAAAGCCCAAACCAAGTAAAGACACAACAAAAAAAGAAAACTGCAGTACAATATCCTTGATTAGCAACAGACTTTAAAATTCGCAATAAAATACTTGCAAATGAATAAGACATTTATCAAAAGGAGTACACACTATGACCAAGCTAGCTTTATCCTGGAGATGCAGGGATGGTTTATCATTTGTAAGTCAATAATTATAAGTACAAATGAACTTGAAGAGAAAAATCCCATGACCATCCCAATTGATGATTCACAAAGAGGCCTGAGACAAAATCTAGCATTACTTCCTGATAAAACTCTCAGAGAGAGCAGAATTAGAGGGAACAACTTCAGCATAATTAAAGCTATACATGATAAGCCTACATTCAATATCATCCTATTTGAAGAAAAGCTTGAAGCAATTCCACAGAAGTCAGTAATGAGACACAGATGTCCACCATTTCCACTCCTTTTCAATACTGTGCACAAAGAAGCAGCAATAAGACAAGAGAAGGAAATTAAAAGGATACAAATAGGAAAATAATCCTTATTTGCAAATGACATATTATACAAAAAAGATTCCACAAGTCTATCAGAAAACTTCTAGAAATGAAATAGAATTCCACCAACATGACAGGATACAGAATCAACTTGCACAAATCTACAGATTTTCTGTACTCCAAAAAACATGTAGAGAAAGAGATCCCATGTACAATAGCCTCATGGAAAATAATACATCCAGGAATAACCTAAATCAAGGATGTGAATGACCTCTACAATGAAAACTTTAAACTTCTGAAGTAAGTGATAGAGAAAGACACTAGAAAATGGAAAGACACGCCGTGCTCATGGATTGGTAGAAGTAACATTGTGAAGATTACCATTCTACCAAAAGCCATTTACAGATTCCATGCAATCCCAATCAAAATTCTCATTAAATTCTTAACAGGAACAGGGGAAAAATAGCTTTATATTTGTATGGAACCACAAAAGTTCCTCAGACAGCCAAAAACAATTATGAATTAAAAGAACAGTGCTGGAAGAATTACCATTTCAGAGTTCAAAATATATCATACTGCCAAAAAGTGGGCCTGGTATCTGAACAGCATTCTCAAAATAAGAAACAAAAAGAAAGAAAGAAAGAAAGAAAGAAAGAGAAAAGAAAGATGGATGTTCCTTGTCCCTAGCAATTAGGGAAATGCAATTAAAATAACTTTGAAATTTCATTTTATCCCAGTAGAATGGCAAAGCTGAACAAAACAACCAAGAAGGAATGCTGGAGGGGATTTGGAGATAAGGGAACCTCATTCACTACTGATGCTATCTCAAACTTGTCCAGCCACTCTGCAAATCTGTGTAGATTCCTCAAAAAGCTAAACTTCAATCTACTTTATGACTCAGCTATAGCACTCCTCGGCATATGCCTAAAGGACTTGAGTGCCTACTCTACAGACACTTGCTCATTCGTGCCCATTACTGCTCTCTCCACGATAGTTAAGAAATGGAAAAAAAACTAGGTGTTCTCCAAATGACACAAGGATAACATAAAAGTGATACATGTGCACTATGACATGTTATTCAAGGTAAGGAAAATTGAAATCATAAAATTAGCAGGTAAATGGCCGGAACTAGCAAAGATAATATTGAGTGAGGTAACCCAGATACAGAAAAATGAACACTGTAAGGTCTCTTTCAACTGTGAATCCTAGCTCCAAATCTGAAGATATGAGTATATAATTTGAGTAACTACTGGAATCGGGAAAGTGAAAAGGGAACACTGTGGGGGCAAAATGGAGCAACAGAGACTGGAATGGTAGGGTACAAGTGATCTGAGGTGGGAAAAGGGAGAAGTGGGCAGCTTTAATTAGGGAAGAGGAAGTAGATAATTACAGAAAAATGAGGACGAGAGTAATCTGAAAAAGTCATAAGGAATCATACTGCTATCTACCTAAAATACTTGTAAATATATATATATATATATATATATGTATTTATACATAATTTAAATGAAAATTTCCCATTTTGGCAGGCAAAGTTCTCTCCATAGACAAACCCCTCAACGGCAGGAATGAGAAATCCTCTTTTGCGTTGTTGGCCAGGGTAATCCTAGATACTGTCCAAACATTATAGGCCATTGCTGCGGTCCTTGGTTACCTCCCAGGTGTGGAATGTAACACCTTATTATTCATCATGTATCCTATGAATTTCAGACAGAGTACCTAGACGACCTGACCTGAATTTGACTTGAAAAGACTCCACCATGAGAAGGCTCTACCAGAAGGCACCAAGCAAGCTTCCAAAGAAGGGAAATAACAAATAATAAGACCAAATGTAATGCAATGAATGACAACAATGTCCACCATGTCACGATGACCTTAAGAATGCAGTGGCAATCAGTTCTCCAACTGAACTTCTGCTTGAGGGAACTTATGGCTCATACTTGAAACCTAGTCAATTGCCCTAATCTAGTGAAGTCATGGATCTTGGAGGAGCACCTACAACCACCTCCTTACTAAGCCACTGTAATACCTAACTAATTCTAAATGCTTATCCTTATACTCACACATAAGTATGGGCTTTACCCCTCATCAGAGAAACTTCTCTTTGAAACTGACAGAGACCATGATAGAAAACCACAATCATTCACAATGCAGTTGTGAATCCTCGCCCCAACTGATGTATCTACATCACAACTCCTGCACTTACGACTCAGGGATACTGAAGAGGGGGGTTAAAGGATTTTAAGGGCCAGAAAACTGGAAGTTTTCTGTGAGAGTATGTCTCT